GTGACCTCATGGGTCAGAAGCACCCGTGGCGGGAAGGAGTAGGGGGGACCCGCCTTTCAGCACCAGTGGCTTCCGGCCTCAGCTGACCCCAGGATGGCTGTTGTCTGCCATGACGGGAAGGGGAGCCAAGGCTCTCCTCACAGGGTGAGGCACAGGCCGTGTCTGCGGGCGGGTGTGGCTCTGTGCAGGTCCGAGGCGTGGACAGGTGGGCAGTGCAGCCTCCTCTGTGGTCTGGTTGCTGTGCCGTCATCGGGGCAGGGGTGGGACTAGGTGGGACGTCCCTGTGCATGTGTGGCATAAGGCCTGCCTGTGCTGCTGCTGTGGGGTCTTGGGAGGCCCTGGAGGGTGCCTGGGCAGTGTCTGGTCCTGGCTGCGCATCCCTGCAGTGACCATGGGGAACACCCTTGACCCGGTGCTGGGACAAGGTTGGCCGCGTGCACCGCCAGCCACAGGAGTGGGGTGCAGGCTGCTGGCCCTGCAGGCCCCGGCCCCGTGCCTCAGGCCGCCCTCCTCCCCTCCCAAAAGCTCAGCGGCCACTGCAGAGGAGGCAGAGAGCACCGTCGGCTGCTTCGGCCTCAGTGGGAACCTGGGTGGCCAGAGGATATGCCGAGGAACTTCCCACCCCGCACCGGGCTCTCCCCCGGGTCTCAGGTGCCTGTGGGCAGCAAGAGGAAGCCCCATGGCCACCCGTTTTTCTCTCTCAGCCCTCAATAGACGCCCCTCCTGTGCCCAGGGAACAACAGATCTCTGCTGCCACGCAGACAATGCAACCCACAAATGAGTGCAGACCTCAGACACCGTGCCCAGAATGCCACTGTCAGATACCATGTTCCCTCACTGGAGCCCTGAGACCTCCATCTCTCATCATTAGTACCCCCACACCTCCCACACCCACCTTACCCCCACACCCACCATACTACCCTCACACCTCCCCACACCCACCTTATTACCCCCACACCTCCTCACACCCACCTTATTACCCCCACACCCACCTTATTGCCCCCACACCTCCTCACACCCACCTTATTACCCCATACCTCCCCACACCCACCTTATTACCACCACACCTCCCCACACCCACCTTATTACCCCCACACCTCCCCACACCCACCTTATTACCCACACACCTCCTCACACCCACCTTATTACCCCCACACCTCCCCAAACCTACCTTATTACCCCCACACCTCCCCACACCCACCTTATTACCCCATACCTCCCACACCCACCTTATTACCCCCACACCTCCCACACCCACCATACTACCCCCACACCTCCCCACACCCACCTTATTACCCCCACACCTCCTCACACCCACCTTATTACCCCCCACACCCACCTTATTACCCCCACACCTCCCACACCCACCATACTACCCCCACACCTCCCCACACCCACCATACTACCCTCACACCTCCCCACACCCACCTTATTACCCCCACACCTCCTCACACCCACCTTATTACCCACACACCTCCCCATACCTACCATATTACCCACACACCTCCCCACACCCACCTTATTACCCCACACCTCCCACACCCACCTTATTACCCCCACACCTCCCACACCCACCATACTACCCCCACACCTCCCCACACCCACCTTATTACCCCCACACCTCCCCACACCCACCTTATTACCCCCACACCTCCCCACACCCACCTTATTACCCCCACACCTCCCACACCCACCTTATTACCCCCACACCTCCTCACACCCACCTTATTACCCCCACACCTCCTCACACCCACCTTATTACCCCCCACAACCACCTTATTACCCCCACACCTCCCACACCCACCATACTACCCCCACACCTCCCCACACCCACCTTATTACCCCCACACCTCCCCACACCCACCATACTACCCTCACACCTCCCCACACCCACCTTATTACCCCCACACCTCCCACACCCACCTTATTACCCCCACACCTCCCACACCCACCTTATTACCCCCACACCTCCCAACACCCACCTTATTACCCCCACACTTCCCCACACCCACCTTATTACCCCCACACCTCCCCACACCCACCTTATTACCCCCACACCTCCCCACACCCACCTTATTACCCCATACCTCCCCACACCCACCTTATTACCCCCACACCTCCTCACACCCACCTTATTACCCCCACACTTCCCCACACCCACCTTATTACCCCCACACCTCCCCACACCCACCTTATTACCCCCACACCTGCCCACACCCACCTTATTACCCCATACCTCCCCACACCCACCTTATTACCCCCACACCTCCTCACACCCACCTTATTACCCCCACACCTCCCCACACCCACCTTACTTTCTCTAGTGTCTCTCTCCTGTCCCTGTTCCCCTTCACGGCCCTCCATGGCTTCACTGTTTCCTCGTAGGCCCCTCTCTTCCGGTGTTGACCATCTAGCCCTCTTTGAACCCCACAATCCTGTTCTGACAGGAGTTTTTTTCTGGAGCCCCATTGGCCTCGGTGAATGAGGACCCGACCTCAAGCGCTCTCTGGACATTGGGCCGCCTCCCTTCCCCCACAGGTGGGGCCTGTTCTGAGCTACCCAAACCCAAATTGAGGCGGCCTCCTGGGAAGGGGCTCCTACTCCTGTGAAGGGGTCTCCCTGTCCTGGGAAGGGGGCTCCACCTCCTGGGAAGCGGCTCCTCCTCCTGGAAAGGGGCCTCCTTCTCCGGGGAAGTGGCTCCTTCTGGGAAGCGGCTCCTCCTCCTGGGAAAGTGGCTCCTCCTCCTGGGGAAGGGTCCTCCTCCTCCTGGGAAGGGGCCTCCTCCTCCTGAGAAGCAGCTCCTCCTCCTGGGAAGGGGGCTCCTCCTCCTGGGATGTGGCTCCTCCTCCTGGGATGCGGCTCCTCCTCCTGGGAAGGGGCTCCTCCTCCTGGGATGCGGCTCCTCCTCCTGGAATGAGGCTCCTCCTCCTGGGAAGCGGCTCCTCCTCCTGGAATGAGGCTCCTCCTCCTGGGAAGGGGCTCCTCCTCCTGGGAAGCGGCTCCTCCTCCTGGGAAGGGGCTCCTCCTCCTGGGAAGCGGCTCCTCCTCCTGGGAAGGGGCTCCTCCTCCTGGGATGCGGCTCCTCCTCCTCCTGGGAAGTGGCTCCTTCTGGGAAGCGGCTCCTCCTCCTGGGAAGGGGCTCCTCCTCTTGGGAAGCGGCTCCTCCTCCTGGGAAGGGGCCTCCTCCTCCTGGGATGTGGGTCCTCCTCCTGCCTCTGCTGACGCCTCTTTGCAGCAAGGCTGAACCAGTGCAGTGGGAAAGGAGTTAACTGGTGCCCAATTCTGGGCATCCACATCTCATGCCACAGGCCGAGCACAGCAGGGCCTGGGGTTCCGGGGCGGCTGCACTCAGCAGCATGGCGGCGCGAGGACGGGGAGGAAGCGGCCGCCCAGGCGTTTGGGTAGGGACGTGCCACCCACGCCGAGCAGAACCCCCCTCTGCATTGTGCAGGGTGTCATGGAAAGTGCCTGTGGTGCAGGAGCCGCCGTGCTCTCCAGGACAAGTCTGGTCCTGAACACTGGTACGGGGCAGCCTGCGGGCACCTGGGCCCTGTTACTCCTCATTAGCCTGTGTGAAGAGCCACACGGAGGGCGGGAGCCAGGCTCCTTCTGGTGCCTTCCACACTGGGGGCGGGGCCCTCTGTGTCCTGGGCTGAGGGCCAGGATCTGCGCGGCCTGGGGGAGCCCAGGTGTGCCTGTGTCTTCACAAAGGCCGAGCTCCCACCCAGACGGAGCCAGGGCCCTGCATGGGCACGTGCCAGCGGGTGCTGCCAGCGGGGCCAGGCATGTGGGGCACCTTTGCCCGGGTCTCCGACCCTGCAGGGCCTGGCGAGCCGGCCTCGGGTGTGTGCAGCCAGGATTCCCCTGGAACTGGGTGCCAGCGCGTCCTGTTATCGGTTCCCATGACACAGTTCCTGGTTCTGCATCTGCGTTTTGTTATTGTTATTCTTAAAAATAGTCAGGGGGGTTGTTGAAAGGGAATTTGGGAAAGGGAGTGGGGTGATGAAATGCACGCCCGCTGATGGCTCCAGGAAGCCTCCCTGAGACAGGCCGGGGCCTTTGCAGAAACACATGGGCTTATCTGGGCTGGGGGCACTCCAGCCCAGGGCAGAGAGAAGCCTGGGCAGCTCCGTGACGTCAGCGTACCCCCGCCAGAACCTGGGAGATGGGACGAGGCTTGGCGCGGTGGCAAATCCCTATCTCAGCGCCCATCAGGCGGCCGCGGCAGGAGGTGGGTGGAGCAGGGATGTGCGTAGCTCACAGAGGCCCTAGCAGTGCTGCTCATTTCCTCTCCATCTGCCAGAAGCCACAGGTGAAGGGAATGTCACCGGCATGTGGGGGACTCGGGGACACCGCCCTCCGGAGGGAAATAAACTCAGGAAGAGCCTGAGAGGCTCAGGCGACGCTGGTGCTGCCTCCACAGAGGTGCCGCTGTGGACGTGTGCGTCCCTCGATCCAGGGAGAGACGCCCCCCACACCTTCCCAGCACCGCTGTGGACGTGTGCGTCCCTCGATCCGGGGAGAGACGCCCCCCACACCTTCCCAGCACCGCTGTGGACGTGTGCGTCCCTCGATCCGGGGAGAGACGCCCCCCACACCTTCCCAGCACCGCTGTGGACGTGTGCATCCCTCGATCCGGGGAGAGACGCCCCCCACACCTTCCCAGCACCGCTGTGGACCTGTGTGTCCCTCGATCCGGGGAGAGACGCCCGCCACACCTTCCCAGCACCGCAGCTGGCACCTGGCCTGGCACCATGCTGCGCATGAGGGTGGGCACTGTGGTGACCCCAGCTCTCCGCCGAGGCAGCTGGGCGCTGGCTCAGGACACTCACAGGCCAGGGCGGGACCACGCAGGAAACAGGGGTTCCTGGGGGGACGCCTTATCACAGGCGTGAGCGTCACTGATGAGAGGCAGGGCTGGGGCATTTCTTTGGTATTTATAGATACTTGCTGGAGAGGCGTGTTTCCCTAATACTTTCTCCATTTTTGTTTTCTTGCAGTAAATGAAATAATACGAAATGACCTCTCCAGCACGAGCACCCACTCATAGTTGCCACCTGGGAGCATTCAGTTCAGCGGGTGTGCTGACTCTAGCAAAGATTTGAACACACCTGGTGCCACTCAGAACCTGCAACTGACAACGCTGGGAGCTAAAGATGAGTAGTTCAAGCAAGTGGCTCTCCAGCGAGGAAGGGAGGCCACCGTCTCAGGACAACAGAGGGAGGTGGCTAGGCCGCCACGGGAGCAGCCCACACGCAGCCTGACCCCAAGCCCAGCCCTCTGGCACCCTGGGCTTCAATACTGGAAGTGCCTTACTTAACTACAGCGTCAGGGCGCCGTGGAACTGAGCGTTGAATTTGCGACTGTGGGAGCAGAGACTGTAAGCACAGTTCACGTGAGGGTTTATCCTTTGTGCAAGTGCAGACGGTGCTGGCAGGCTTCGAGGGGTCCCACACGAGTCTCCGCCGTAGGGAACGTTTCCGGGGCCACGAAGTACAATCTTGCTGGCTCATCCAGTGCGTTCTGGAATCTTCCAGTCTGTCATCTCAGCTCTCGGGTCGTGCGCTTCCCTCGCCGGCGCCGTTAAACCGTAGACTGTTCACGGTCGCGTGCTGGCATCTTTGCTTTTAATCTGGCTTTGAACACAGCACAGTAAGTTGAATAGCACAACATGGGTTACTGGACAGAAACAAACCTGTGATAGGATGGGCCTGCGTCTGCATGTATGTACCTATCTCGGCATATGCTTGTGTGTAATGAATGGCTCTCCCGGCCAGCGCTCCCGCGTTCGCCCCAGGACCCCGCTGCTCCTGCTGGAGTCCCGTCCGTGTCACCTCTAGCAGACGGCCGCGTTTTCTCCTCTGGTGCGGTCCAGGGAGGACTTCAGAGAGCCAGGAGCTGGCACTCACAGTAGCTGTAGGTGACCAGATGGCAGAATTAGAAACTGATTGTAAATAACACGCAAAGTGAGTGCAATCTGTCTGTTCAGTTATAATTGTTTCACAGAAGCCTCACACTCTGCTTCATCTGAAAAACCGACACCAAAAACGACGCTTTAACACGCGGCCTGCGGAGTTTCCAGACTAGTGACTGTCCGCAGATGGGTCCGTGTAGGCTCTGCTACTGCTTGTGTACAGTTAACTGCTTTTGATGTATGATGACTCGCCGTGGTCTCTTGTCCCATATAACCAAAAAGCATGGTTTCTTCATGAAAACACGGTCGACCTGAACTGGTGCCTTAGGAATTAACGCCGCCTGGTGGAACATGCCCAAATTGCACCTGCGGCTGGAGGTGCCAGCTGTGGAGTCACTGAGGCTCCTGCAGGACCATCTGTAATACGCTACAGCACGACGGCTGCTCCTGTGTGTAACTCACAGGAAGAAACGGCCTGCAGGCCCTCCCGTGGGGCTGCGTGGAGCTGCGAGGGCGTGCGGACGTGTGGCTGCATGTACGTTCGCCCGCAGCTGGGTGCCCACCCTGCCCCTGGCGCCGTGGGAGCTGCATGGAGCCTTTCTCGTTGACGGACCGTCATCGAGACGGAAAAGTTTGGTGTTTGTGTCAGCTGTCTTTGTAGTTACGAAATGGATCCAATAAAGCCATATTTTTTTTTGCTGGACTGGCTCAGTCTGCGAGTGATTCGTGACGTGTGTGGAAGATCCCACCTTGTTTTGAGTGTGCGTTTGTGTGCGCTCGTGTGCACGTACTTGGACTGTCTGTGAGATGAGCCTCACATTGGGAAGGCTGTGCAGACCCAGCCACTCACCCGTGGGGGGCACCTTGCCAGGAGAGCTGTTGTGTTCTGTGTTTAGGTGAAAACCTGCCATAGCAGTTCGTGAGATGTGGAATAGTTCCCAGGCCCTCTGACCAGAGCCCTTCAGAAACGTTCACCCGGGCAAGGTGGAGAAGGAGCTCCTGCTTGTGCCAAATATTTCTGCTCCGAGAAATATCCTGGGTGAGGCTTTGGCCACACACAGTCACACGCCATTTGACAATCATCTGGCAGGGAATGCGTGTACAGAAACCACAGGCTCTCGCGGCTCTTCCTCTTTCCCCACCCCGGTCTCCTACTTCACGTTCGGGTGGGAAAACATTATCTGGCCATTAGTCAAAGCCTGAAGCTTGGACCTTTTACAGTGATTACTGTTCTTGTCTTTCGGAAACATTTTTCTTTTAAAACTTTATAAAATGCAAGAATTCCGATTTCTTTTGCTCCGAGGTGGATGGCTTGAGTTAAAGGACTGAAGAAGCCATCACCACCTAAAGCAGTTAATTGGCAGCAGGTGTCTGCACTTGGCAACATGTGAAGTAAGCCTTCGAGCAGCGTTAAAGGCCCCCAAGGGGTGGCATGAGGAGGGCACAGGAGGCCGGCGTCCAGGGGAGCTGGGAGGAGACACTGCGGGTGTTAGGAGCTCTGGACTCTGAGCGAGTAGGGAGGGCTCCCGCGTCTGCCCCAGGGAGGGTTAAGCCGCCGCTCTCCTCCAGCTGGCCCCAGTCAGGGCCTAACAGGCTTGGACCGTTCCATTGAGAGGCGGCCAGCAGGCTCCCGATTCCCTCTGCTGAGAGCAGGTGGAGCTGTCCATGCAGAATGTGCTGGAAGCTCTTTCAACGTGACTTTGAAACTTCCTTTGCTGTCCTGAACCCCAGTAATAGAATATTATGTTCCAAAACTACGAATGTATACAATGATGCTTTCTGCAAAGGAGGTAGAGCTGCTCTGAATAACTCCTCGTGTCTGTGCCTTTTAGGTTGATTTTGAGTAATGAGAAAAATGCACCCACGGGCTGGTTACATGCACTGCCCTCGAGGCTGCGCTTTCCTGGGGAGCTGGGAGGGGTCAGCTCTCGAGGCAGTGGGACCACCTTCCAGGCCTCTGCTGGCCTCTCTCTAGCACGCGGTCCTCGGTCCGAAGTCCTGCGGGAGCCGTGAGGACAGGCGTGTTCTGAGAATCACTTCGCCAGAGGCAAAGCAGCCACAACCGTGCACAAGGCCACAATTGTTTTGCTCCTAAGTGGAGACCCTGGCACGAAACAATATAAAGATCAAGTTTCCCTCAGAGCCAAGTGCAGCCAGGAAAGACCCAGATGCGTGTGCTTCTGGCCCCTGAAGAGCGTCTCACCACATAACAGTCTGGGCCCTGGTGAGGGCGTCTCATAACAGCCTGGGGCCCTTCCCCCTGTGTTCCCCACCCAGGACGCACCCTGGCCCCGCTTCTAGAGAAGGATCCAAAAAATCAGCTGTTTCTGGTAATCCTGCCACGTCTGCCACACAACGTCCCCAGCAGCGACATCACTGGCAGGGTGTCTCAACGTGAAAATTTAAAAAATACGTGCCATGTTGAGATTAACGAGTTACTTCTGAGTGAGTGTGGGGAGGCGACCGCGCAGAGTGGGCTGAGGCCGAGATAAAATAACCTCTTCAAGGGAAGTCCCCGGCTCGCTCTGTGGGTTTTTAACATTGTAAATTCACACAAGATGAAAGTGACCCCTTTAAAACATACCATTCCGTGGTGTTTTGTACATTCACAAGGTTGTGTAGCCACCACCTCTCTCACCACCTCCAGAGTACACACAGGTTCCTCCCTGCCCCCCCCCCCCCCCGCAGGCCCCTGGACCGCAGGTCAATGCCGTCTCTGCGGGTTTGCCTGTTGGGTGGCTCCTGTCAGTGGAATCACGACTGTGGGGCTGTCTGTGCTTGGTGTCTCCCGTGGCGTGTTTCCAAGGATCGTCCGTGTCGCAGTGTGTGTCAGCACTTCATCCCTTTTTGCGGCCGAGTCCTGTTCCCCGGGGGGGACCCCACGTGTGGGTCCTTCCTCAGCTGATGGACATTTGGCTCCCGCCTCTTGGCTGCTGTGAACGCTGCTGTTCAGGTGTTTGTTCATGTCCCTGTTTTCAGTTCTTTGGGGCATACTCTCTGGGAGTAGAACTCTGGGGTATTATGGTAATTGTATGCTTAACTGTTTGAGGACCTGTTTTCTCCTCAGCTTTTAAATGATCCATCCCTAAGATCCTGGCTCACTAACCTAATTTGGAATCCCATATGTGAAGCACATCGTATTTATAATTATTTATGCCAGAAAAATTAAGTTACGTAGATGACTAAACATTCATTTATGCCAAAGCAGAGAGCAGACCCCCCAGCCAACCCTGTCTGCAGCCCCCCACTGCCCCCCACCCCAACCCTGCTTGCGGCCCCCCACTTACCCCCACCCTGTGCCCACCTGAAGCTTCCCCCACAGACCCCAGCCCCTTCCAGTGCCCATCTGCAGGCCCCCAGCACCCCCGATGCCCACCTGCAGCCCCCAGCTGTCCCCCGTGCCCACCTGAAGCCCCCAGCAGACCACCCTGCCTTGGGTTTCTGTCGGGACCGAAATGCAGTGTCCAGGTCACCATGACAGTGCCCACAGAACTAGCTGACACATTCCAACAGTGCCCATGGAACTAGCTGACGCATTTCGATGGTGCCCGCAGAACTAGCTGACACAGTTCATTTTGCTTCAAATATAAACTGTAATAGAGAAAACAGCCTTGGTGAGGATCCTCAGTGCTGTAAGATGTAAGCGCGCAGGTGAAAGTGTTTCATGAGTAAAGGGGCTTCTGTGGGCATTTACACAACGAATCTCCAGCTGACCCTGGGACTCGGCATCCAGCCTCTCCACAAATGCAGCTCAGAGTCACTCGGGGTTTTCTGGATTGTGTCATTGAAAGCGACTCCTGTTTCCATGAGGCTGTTCTCTCTGGGCTCAGTGAGTTTTTCAGCACATGGGACCTTGGTTCCAGGACGGAGCGGAGTGTGGCCGGAGAGCAGACGTGCTGCAGCTGCTGTGTACGGTTTCATAGCAGAGCACGTCTCTCTCCAGCAGGCAAACAAATGCAAAAATGCATTGCCCTTTTCCCAAAAAGGAGGGTAGCCTGAGTCCCACCTGCACGGGGAGGAGCTGGGGGTGGCCTGGGTCCCATCTAGATGGGGTGGGGGGAGCTGGGGGTGATGTGGGTCCCATCCAGATGGTGGGGAGAGCTGGGGCTGCCCAGGATCCTATCCGGATGGTGGGGAGCTGGGGTGATTCAGGCCCACAGCAGTCAGCCTCTCACGGGCCACTTCCCCTCCTGCTGGGCCCGCTCTTACAACCTAGGCATTGGGGGCATGGTCTGGGCTTCTACTCCTCACCCCCACTGCTCTGTCCAGCCGCGAATCTGCAGAATCTGCAGAAGCACATTTTCCAAGCTGTATCATGGACTGTGATGGCCTCAGCGAAGGTCAGGCCAGGAAGTGGCTCTCCAGGACCTGCTGGGCTGGGCAGCATTCCCTGCCTGCTTCCCCGGGACGCTCCCCCTCGAGACCAGCCAGCCCATGAGGAAGCCCAGGCCACACGGGGAGGCCTCAGTGGGTGTCCCAGCAGGCAGCCAGCACCAGCCACACTAAAGAGCAAGCAACTAAGAGAAAAAGAGAAAGGAGCCTGAGAGCGAATGAGCAGCCGGCAGGCGAAGGAGCTGCCTCCCCAGCAGCAAGGAGAACAGGGCCCAGCAGCGAGGAGAACAGGGCCCAGCAGCGAGGAGAACAGGGCCCAGCAGCGAGGAGAACAGGGCCCAGCAGCTCCTGCCGAGCTCTGCAGTAGTGAGGGTGTGCTGGAAGCCACTGACTTTTGGGTGTCAGGCGAGAGCAGCAGAGGACACTGTGAGAAGTCGGGGAGGTGGCGGTCACTGGTGGGTGACCCTGAGGACCTTGGCTGTGACAGGCGGTGGGGAGGTGCCGATGTGAGATCTGAAATGGCCCCCACACCACCCCTGAGAGCAGGCTGCCCAGGGGCCAGGAGACCAGTTAGGAGACAGAAAAGTGACGATTAAGAGCAAGCAGGTGGCAGTGCCCAGTCACCCAGCAGCGGCAGCCGTGGTGAAGGTGCTGGAGAGGGATCCCATCCAGGTTCCGTTTCAGAGCCAGAGGCCTCAGTCAGCACTGGAATGGACGCGACATGGGGGGAGAGGTGACCAGGGACGGTTCCAGGCTGGGAGCAGGAAGAGCCCCCTTGGTGTTGGCCCCACAGGCTCAGCGAACAAAGCCCCACACACCCCACCCCAGCCCCACCCGTTCAGATCTCCCATGGGTCAGCTGGAGCCAGAGCAGCCTGTAAGACCTGGGGGGCCGCTCTTCCAGGGTGGACCCAGCCAGTGCCTGGCACAGCAGCTACCCAGGCCTCTATGCACCTATGACGTGCCCAGGCCGAGCCTTTCACAGACCACCCTGCAGCCGTCCACCACCCTCCCTCCTTCCCGGGCTCCTTCCACAGTTCCCAGCCTGGTCTCACGTTCCCAGGCCCTTCCTGCCCCTCCTTCCTCTCTTGGGTGTGGCCCCATAAGTCTGCACGTCTAATGCAGCCCCAAGAACTGAGCTGACAGGACTCAGTACCCACAGCTGTAAAGGAAGGGTCCATTCAAAAGCTAATGTTCTTCGCTGTCTTGGCAACTCTTTGAGTGTCACCTGCTCTCTGGTGGCAAAGAGACCACAACAGAACCTGGATGACGTGGGAGGCTGCACAGAGTCCCCTTGCAGCTGCAGAGATGGCACTTCCAGCAGCTCCGGGTCCCAGCAGCTCCGGGTCCCTGCACCTCCGGGTCCCTGCAC